AAGCTAGCCAATCAAACGAATTTCTGCCTATGATCCCTACTGTCCCTAAACTGTCCGGAGCTACGATTATCAGCGTTAGGCAAAAATTTTATTTGTCAGATATTGTTCGCTCAGACATTTTTATCGAATAATGTCATATTCTACAACAGAAAGTGATAAAAAGAAAGTAACCACTTTTAAATCGCTGGTAAAGTAGCAACTTGTTAATCAACTTGTTTAAATAAAGAGCTTGGCTGAGAAACATTTATACAGGGCATTATAGAACCATTATGTCAGGCATGTGAGCAGCTCAAATACAAAGTCCCAACAGAGATCCAAGCTGAAGCCATTCCATGGGCGTTACAAGGTAAAAATCAATGCTTATCGTGTTTGTACTTTACTTTGTTAAAATTTTGTTCGGCATTTTTTGTCAATTAGGTCGAGACATAATTGGTTTGGCACAGACTGGATCAGGCAAAACCGCCGCTTTTGCCTTGCCCATCCTTCAAGCATTATGGGAGGCACCACAGGGCCTATTTTCTTGCGTTCTGGCTCCAACGAGGTATGCCTAAACCGTACTTTTGGAAGATGATTGCGCATAAGATCAACTGTTGTTAAAACTACTCATTTGACAAAGAGAATTAGCATACCAAATATCCGAATCATTTGAATCTTTGGGTTCTATAATTGGTGTTCGATGTGCTGTTATAATTGGTGGAATGGATATGATGTCACAAGCAATTGCTCTGTCCAAAAAACCCCATATTATTATAGCTACTCCTGGGAGATTACATGATCATTTGGAAAACACAAAAGGATTTAGTTTGAGAAACTTGAAATATTTGGTAATTATCTTTATTATTTAGCATAAAATCATTATTAATATGAGCGACTGATCGATGTATGTTATTCGGACCAGGTTATGGACGAAGCTGATAAATTATTAGATATGGATTTTGGACCAGTTATTGATAAAATTTTAAAAGTGATCCCTAAAGAACGTCATACTTATCTCTTTTCTGCTACCATGACAACTAAAGTGGCAAAATTACAACGTGCTTCTCTAAGTAATCCGGTCAAGGTTGAAGTTTCTTCAAAGTAAATACTTAATATTATGCTTCGTTCATTTGTACTTTGACTAATTTCGTTAATTTCGAACTTATTTTTTTGACTAGATATTCAACCGTATCAACTTTACTGCAATATTATCTATTTTTTCCTCTTAAACATAAAGACTGTTACCTTGTATACCTATGTAACGAACTTGCAGGAAACTCTATAATAATATTCACCAGGACGTGTAATGACACACAGCGCCTTGCGTTATTATTAAGGAACCTTGGGTTTCCTGCGATTCCTTTACATGGGCAATTATCGCAATCTAAAAGATTAGGTTCTTTAAATAAATTTAAAGCCGGGAATAGAAATATTTTAGTGGCTACCGACGTTGCTAGCAGGTAAAAAATAGCGAATTTCTCGTAACGCTGCTCGATCTTCTTTCTTTGATAATAATTATATTTTTTACAATTCCATAGAGGTCTGGATATACCACTCGTAGACGTGGTAATTAATTATGACATTCCATTTAATAGCAAAGATTATATCCATAGGGTAGGACGAACAGCTCGTGCAGGAAGATCCGGTAAATCCATCACTTTGGTTACTCAATATGACGTAGAGTTCTATCAACGTATTGAACAAGTGATCGGAAAGCAGATGGAACTATTTCCAATCGGTAGTAAAGAAGACGTTTTGCTGCTTCAAGAACGTGTTTCTGAGGCACAGAGAATTGCTACTTTAGAAATGAAGGAAGAACAGCAACAAAAGAAAGGAAACAAAAGAGTTAAAAGTGAAGGAAATGATGATTATAAAGATAGGGAAGATAGAGATCTTGTCGTGTCTAATAAGTTGAGTAAAAAAGCAAAGAGAGTCAGGAGATAAATCAATTGATCCTTAAAATTATGTATAATAGATAAATTATTGAATCATGCGGTTAAGTCAAATTTTAACTTAACCGCATGATTCAATAATTTATCTATTATACATAATTTTAAGGATCAATTGATTTATCTCCTGACTCTCTTTGCTTTTTTTTACTCAACTTAAGGTTCGTGTTTCGAACCTTAAGTTTAGAACTTTATTTTCTATTTAATGTGATGTTATTTTGAAAGTAAATGCGCGTGCATTTTTTACATATAAATTTTTTTCGACCTAAATTTTGGGGTTCTCCTGTATGAATTATGGTAACGGTAACGGTCGTACATAGGTAAAGCTAGAAAGCGGAAACCGTTATGATCTCGAAGCTAACGTGTTATTAGTGCTTATATAGACACGTGATGTGACGGTAAGATGTTAAAACGCGAGTTCTTGTTCCGCTTCAGACAAAAATTTTTTAATACGTAAAGTTAGGGTAATCATCAAACTAATAAAATCAAACTATAGTTAGCCATTATATAAACTAACTAGCTAATGTTCTTTCTTATCTAGTACCATGTATTGGAAATATAATTGGTAATGTTTGTATATCGATATGTGATTTAATAAAGTAAAATAACAACCCAAAAAAGTTTTGAAAGTTATGTGATATTGTCAAGTTCTGAGATGTTACTAATAATATTTAGTAAAATATTAATTGACTTGTAAGCGGTTTTTTTTTTTGATTCTTTAAAATGAAAAGTAATGGTTGCAATTATGAGAAACCAAATAATTTTCTAATACAACATTATAAAATTATATATTGAGTGTATGTAACCCAATTTTCAGTAATAAATTATAAACACTAATCAAGAAAATTAATTGTCTAGAAAAGTTTGTAGATTTTATTTTTAATGCTTTTCTAGAAGATTATAATTTGGGTATTTATTTGAGTAAAAATTTTTTATTATTGTAAATTTAGGAATATAAAAAAAAATTATTGAAGATAGTATGATGAATTTAAATAGCACACTGACTATCATAATTATTGTTCTACTTCTTTTTTTTTATTTAGGTCACGATATTTTACTTTCTATAAGCCATATGATTGGTAAATTTAGATGATATAAACCCTCTGGCTTAGACTTTAATATAATCAATTTTGGTTAACACTTATTATGCAGCTTTTTAGAAAATCTCCGATTATGCACTTTTCATATGGTGCAATAGTTATAGCATATTTACAAAAATAAAATAAAATATGTATTTATAACATGAGTGTGTGAGAATAAAAACCTGTAACTGATCATAGTAAATCATTATAATCAGTTCCAGGTTTTTATTCTCACGCACTCACATATCAATATCAAAAATATATAAATACTTGTTCGATTAGTAATAGTAAGTATGCAAGCAAACTTATTATAACTATGAGAGCGATTCCAATATCAAAAAGAAATCGTATTTTCATCTTTCTTGAAGAAGGTTACTCTAGTCGTACTATTGCTTTTCATGAAAAAATAAACTATAGTACGGTCTTAAGAATAAAAAATTTAAAGAAGCAAACTGGTTGCTTAGATATTTTACCAAGGTTAGACCACCCCAGAATACTTACTACCCATTATGAAAGAAAAATAGCCAGGGAATTTAGGTCAGATATATGCCAGAGTGTCATTTAAGCCCAAAAAAATTAATATCTGATGAAGGTGTTCATGTTTCTACAAATACAATCTGCTGTGTATTATAGTAACAAGGTTTCGAATTTTGGGTAAAGAAAAAAAATCTCTACTTTAATCACAAACCAAAAATTGTGAAGAAACTTTGTAAAAAAATATTGTCGTTAGACCATTGAGGATTGGTGAAATATGATTTTTTCGGACGAATCAAAGTTCAAGATTTTGGTTTGGATAGAAGAGAATGGTATTGGAAAGACCCAAATTCGTCATTATTATTACAATATGTAAAGCTGACAGTAAATATAATGGGGTTTATAATAGTATGGGCTGTATATGTATATATGGTATTAGAAACTATTGTAGAATTAAGAGAAACATGAATAAGGAGTTATATTATAAAATTCTAAAAGATAAGTTAATTGGGACTTGCGGACGTGACATTTGACTAATTTCGTTAATTTCGAACTTATTTTTTTGACTAGATATTCAACCGTATCAACTTTACTGCAATATTATC